TATTTATCAAGCGGAAGACAGAAAGGTGGCTCGTTTTATGTGCTAGTGCTTCCAACAATACACCTTCACCTTTACGACCCTAATGGGTCAAGGGTCATGTTATGTTATGTTTACCTGACAGGTCTCTCCTTTGATTTCCACTTGGTCTGCACATCACTGCTAGTTGTTGTAGACGGTCTGTTGGCAAGCAGGCTAGATGACCAACCAGCTTACTAGTTTTGAATTACGTCTTGCCTTGTGACTTTCCCCAAACAGGAGCGCCGGTACTTTAAGGCTAAGGTACCAGAAAGTTTGAAGGGAAAAAAAAGAGGCCTGGGGGAGGGGGAGGGAGGTTGTGCTGTGCCTAAACAATTTTGTAGACGTACTAAGCGCCCCCCCCCCTCCATTATACAGGTACTCTTTCTACGTATTTTTAGAACATTTGATATTATTTCAAGTTTATTGTAGTGTTTATTTGCAATGATCGCAATATTATCAATATTATTATTATTATTACACACTTAAGGCTTCTGCCATTTAGCGCCCTCCCCCCACTAGAAAGTTTGTAAGTAAAGGGGCTACTACTACCCCTCCCCCTCTGCTAATGTTTTCTTTGTGTCTGCAATGCGTCCCCCAGTGTAAGTGCTGTTGTTAGATTCGTAAATTTGTTTCGCTTCCATACTGCTTGTTATATACATGCGTATCTTCGCTGGTGCTTAGGAGTTCATACAACTCTGAGAACGTGTTTTGTGTGTGTGTGTGTGTGTATAATCAGTAGTGCGAGACTAGGACCATTGTGAAGTTATCTACTGGTAGGTAGAAGAATTTAAAAATGACATTACCGTGGGATGTCACAGGGACACTAACATCAAAGCATGACTACGAATGGCTGGCTTTTTCAGACCAACAATTTTCCAAGACAGTGTTACGTTATGTTATTACAGTCGACGCCACTGCACATTTGTTATTCCCATGCCTGCTCAGTCCTCAGATGCAGCAGCCACTCAAAGGTACCTATACTGATTGTTCCCACGAGGAGCTGGTTATAATTTCTCCTGTTTCGGCTTTGCCGAAAAAAAAAAGAATACAAATTTACAGAATATATACGTTCAGTGGAAGGTATCTTCGAGTCTCACAGTCACCCCGTTACATCAGCCTGTTTGATAACTACTGAACTAGACAGTAAATTGACGGGTTCCCAGCCAGAACTCCGCTCTCCTGGTGTGTCAAAGAGGAGAACAATTTTCGTGTCATGCAGTACTCTGGGTCAGCAACGGGTATACTGGAATCATTGCTAGCGTCACATTGACATGTCGCTGATTATGTTGAGGCATGGTTTTGATGCTACGGTAGTTAGGTAAGTTGTACCCCACTAGGACATCAGACAAGCGATAAACATCTGGTGACACAAAGTGCCATATTTTAGGCCCGGCTATATTTAGGACCCCCGGCAAAAGCCAGAGTGGGGCTTCAGAATAACTAACAATTGAATCCCACATGGGGACGACAAGATAATAATGTTTTGATGCTGTGGTATTTGCTTCGAGTTTAAGAGTTAGACGTTCAAATCCCAGCATGCATGTGGTCAAAGACGACTAAGGGGTGTTTCCTTTGAGGTCAGATCATACCTGCCTGAGATTCAAGGAATCGGCAGTCTGCATACAAATAAGTCAGATCTGTAAAACGGATGTGCACGCAAAAAATCAAGTACTGGAACAAGACTACAGTCTAGTGAACGCAAAATCCCGGCATAGGGCTGTGTAAAATTAACACCTGTAAAATGAGATCCCTGAGAAAAGCCGCCAACTCAACCACCCGAGACAAAGTTAGAAATGATATTATCAGATAGATTGTAGGAACAACACCAGGCAGCAGATTCATTGAGAAATAGAAGATCAAATGGTTTGGTCATCTAGTAGGAATGGAGACTAAACCACTACCCACGCAGTCGCTAGATGTGAAAAGGTCTGATGAAAAAGCAAAAAATCGATCTAGGAGAATCTGGATTGCTGGCATTCAAGAGCTTCTATATCGACATGGAATGACATTAGCTATTGCTGCCCACCAAGCAGTGGATCGCAAACTGTTTCTCCCCACGCCGCTTAACGGCAGAAGTGAAAATTGAAGATGATGATGATAATTAATTTCGCCTGATCGTTATGCAACGTCCTTTGTTTGTTTATTGTGATAGATTTTGTAAAGCTAACATAAACTATTTGTTGTTTCTTACCAACTTTTTCTCCTCCCTATAATTTTCTACTCCTTTTAAAATACTTTTTGAGTTCCGATACCTAGCCTTCCGATCTTTTTTCTCTAACATTTCTTCTTCTTCCTCCTCCTCCTTCTTCTTCATCGTCCTCTATTCGCGCTTAAAAGGATGGTTGAAATTTTATATTGTGGTTTACAGCTAGGATGCGATATTTAAGACGTTCTGTCCTATTTGAGAACTTATAATCAGTCACATTTAAAACACGCTTGTTAAGCGACCGCATAATTTACACCCCCCCCCCCCCGAATCCCGTCCCCCATAGGGAAACCTAAAGTTCAGTTGGTGACGAGTAACGTGCACTGTTTAGCTACGCTTGGGGCTGTACATTCAGTTTCAATAGCACTGTCTTGCTGCTTTACCCCCGATCACTTACAGTCTGCATGCAACACTGTACCTGTGACAGTTTATGATTAAAAGGCTAGCTTTACTCTATCTTCGTTACCCTGAAGTAAATGACACAGTACACTGGTTCCCGTTTCGTTGTCCGCGGACACTGTGTGTCTCTCACTCTGTCTCTCTCCCTCGGATGTCCTATGTCGTTTTTTTTAAAACTGAATGTTATTATTGTTTAAAAATGAAGATGCCAGCCAAACGCATTCTAGCGTTTGTAACTAATATTTAATTGTTGCTGATGATGTTTAAATTATGCAGTCCATTAGACAATACAATTGTTGGATTCGGTTTATTGGTTTCATTTTTAAAACGTTCAGTGATATAAGTATAATTAGAGCACACTCCAGCGTTTCTCATTAAGACTTAGATGTTGTGAACATTTATTATTATTATTACTATTATTATTATTCACTCTGAAATGATGCACGAATGAATAACTGTATGCAAGGAGTTGACTGAAAGGGCCTGCTTGCCTAATTCTTAACCCTTTGAAAAGCTTGTGTTGTTAATTTGATCGTTAGATCTCTCTCTCTCTCTCTCTCTCTCTCTCTCTCTCTCTGTGTGTGTTTCTCTACCTCCTCTAGCTCCCTCCCTTAGCTCCCTCCCTTCCCCTCTCTCTCCCTATCCATCCACATGGCTATTAGAAAGTGGCAGACCTTAGGAAATGAAAGGCACTCTGCGGGTCTTATGTAATTGGAGGCCCGGCTCGCGAGTGTAGTTGGCTAAACCTGACTTCGCGACGACCGGGTGACGAACTCCTTGTGGTCCGTGTTTACGCCCTGGGGTAGGCAGAAAAGCCACATTTCTCCCAGATTTACTGTATTTATTATGGAATCAATGCCGAAGGGTTGCGATATTCAAAGTACCGAGCCAAAGGGTTTACAACTCATGGTTTCTGGATATTACCACCAAAAAAAAAAAAAAAAATGTAATTGGAGACCCATGACATAGTAGATATGACACATATGTAGCTGACGAGATTTTTGTGATATTCGTGTTGTTGGACAGTGTCCATGAATGAGAAACGTATTTTGTTGTCATAGGGGATCTCTGTGGCAAAGAAGTGAAGTTGTTTGCTTCGCGTTCTGAAGGTCTTGGGTTTCTTTCACAGTGTTCGATCCATGCGGCGAGTATATGGTATTGGGGAAACAAATCGTCATCGTCGTCATCATCATCTTCATCATCATCATCATCATCACAAGCATTATCATCGTATGCAAGTTCACATTGGTAGTCTCAGGCCTATCGTATCTGCTTCATAATTTCACTTTAACACTTATTACAGTTTCATTTCATGATACATCAAAAAGAGGTCACCATTTACTCTTTCATTCTGTTCTGTCCTATGCAGTTGTTTTAATAAGGGTTAAAATGCAGTTTAATAATTCCGACATATTAGGTAAAGTTCAGCTGTAGTTGATTTGGCAGCAAACTGTTTTGTATTGATTTCTACGGTGCTCTGTGTGCTGCTTCTGGTCTCTACTGTGGATATGCGGTTTACTGTTTTTAGTTGTGGCAAATTTTTGCTTCTGACAGTTGTTAGCTGTTGCATTTTCCTCCATATGTAGACTAAAAGGATATAGTTCCATTGCCCAGTGCATGCCGCACACTGTGAGCTGCAGATTTAATTTAAAATGCGTGGTATTGGGAAACAAATCATCATCATCGTCGTCATCATCGTCATCATCATCGTCATCGTCGTCATCATCATCATCACAAACATCATCATCGTATGCCATGCTGGTAAGCGTAGGCTGTAATGTTTCGTCATTTTTCAGGATACCAGCATCACGGATCAGTTCAGTGTTTTTGTCTTGCCCCACCCATTTGACCAGGTTATTCAGGTTTTTTTCTCTTTGCCTTCCTCTTGTTCTATTTCCATCCATCTTGCCAGTTGTTACCAGGTTCTGGAGTCCATTTATTCTCCTAATCTGTCCAAAACAACATTGACTGTGTACATCTTACTGTTCTAATAAGTTTACGACTTTCCTCTGTCTCGATGAGAACTGCTTCGTTTGTTTTTCTATTCTTCCATGATATTCTGAGCATTCTCCTCAGAAACCACATTTCTGCCGCGTGTAAATTTGTTCAGCTTGCTTCCTTATTGCCCATGTTTCACATGTACATAACATACAAATCGATCTTTATATCGCTGTTAAAAACGGAATGAGTTTAAGGTGGTGTTTTTGGTAGATTCCAAGCTGCTGAACTACTACTGCTGTTGGTCCTACTACCACCACCACTGCATTAAGTCCATGTCATGGAATTGCTCCAGGAAGTAAAGGCAGTCAGTGTGATATTGCAGATATTTTCAAGTTTTACAGACAAGGTTTTAAGCCTAGTATCTTTGTCTTTTCAGCCTGCCTATGTCAAGGGTCACCGGAGGACCCCTAGTGACATAGAATTCAGAGATGCCATGCGCAAAGATGCCCAGTCTGCCATGAGCAAGGAGTTGAACAAGCTCTTGATGACAGCTCCCCCTGGCTTGCAGGATGTAGGTCATTTGTGTTTGTGTTTGTCATTCTATTTAAAAAAAATGTGCCATCTGTGTTTATGTTTGTCATTGTATTAAAAAAAATGTCATCTGTGTTTGTTTATCATTCTATTTTAAAAAAATGTGTCATCTGTGTTTATGTTTGTCATTCTTTTTAAAAAAATGTGTCATCTGTGTTTATGTTTGTCATTCTATTTAAAAAAATGTGTCATCTGTGTTTATGTTTGTCATTCTATTTAAAAAAATGTGTCATCTGTGTTTATGTTTGTCATTCTATTTAAAAAAATGTGTCATCTGTGTTTATGTTTGTCATTCTATTTAAAAAAAAATGTGTCATCTGTGTTTATGTTTGTCATTCTATTTAAAAAAAAGGGTGTCATCTGTGTTTATGTTTGTCATTCAATAAAAAAAAAATGTGTCATCTGTGTTTATGTTTTTCATTCTATTTAAAAAAAATGTCATCTGTGTTTATGTTTGTCATTCTATTTTAAAAAATGTGTCATCTGTGTTTATGTTTGTCATTCTATTTAAAAAAAGGTGTCATCTGTGTTTATGTTTGTCATTCAATAAAAAAAAATGTGTCATCTGTGTTTGTTTTTCATTCTATTTAAAAAAAATGTCATCTGTGTTTGTTTATCATTCTATTTTTAAAAAATGTGTCATCTGTGTTTATGTTTGTCATTCTTTTTAAAAAAATGTGTCATCTGTGTTTATGTTTGTCATTCTATTAAAAAAAATGTCATCTGTGTTTGTTTATCATTCTATTTTTTAAAAATGTGTCATCTGTGTTTATGTTTGTCATTCTTTTTAAAAAAATGTGTCATCTGTGTTTATGTTTGTCATTCTATTTAAAAAAATGTGTCATCTGTGTTTATGTTTGTCATTCTATTTAAAAAAAACGTGTCATCTGTGTTTATGTTTGTCATTCTATTTTAAAAAATGTGTCATCTGTGTTTATGTTTGTCATTCTATTTAAAAAAAGGTGTCATCTGTGTTTATGTTTGTCATTCAATAAAAAAAAATGTGTCATCTGTGTTTGTTTTTCATTCTATTTTAAAAAAATGTCATCTGTGTTTGTTTATCATTCTATTTTTAAAAAATGTGTCATCTGTGTTTATGTTTGTCATTCTTTTTAAAAAAATGTGTCATCTGTGTTTATGTTTGTCATTCTATTAAAAAAATGTCATCTGTGTTTGTTTATCATTCTATTTTTTAAAAATGTGTCATCTGTGTTTATGTTTGTCATTCTTTTTAAAAAAATGTGTCATCTGTGTTTATGTTTGTCATTCTATTTAAAAAAATGTGTCATCTGTGTTTATGTTTGTCATTCTATTTTTAAAAAAACGTGTCATCTGTGTTTATGTTTGTCATTCTATTTAAAAAAAGGGTGTCATCTGTGTTTATGTTTGTCATTCAATAAAAAAAAATGTGTCATCTGTGTTTATGTTTTTCATTCTATTTAAAAAAAATGTGTCATCTGTGTTTATGTTTGTCATTCTATTAAAAAAATGTGTCATCTGTGTTTATGTTTGTCATTCTATTTAAAAAAAATGTGTCATCTGTGTTTATGTTTGTCATTCTATTTAAAAAAAGGTGTCATCTGTGTTTATGTTTGTGATTCTATTAAAAAAATATGTGTCATCTGTGTTTATGTTTGTCATTCTATTTAAAAAAAATGTCATCTGTGTTTATGTTTGTCATTATATAAAAAAAAAATGTGTCATCTGTGTTTATGTTTGTCATTCTATTTTAAAAAATGTGTCATCTGTGTTTATGTTTGTCATTCTATTTAAAAAAAATGTGTCATCTGTGTTTATGTTTGTCATTCTATTTTAAAAAAATGTGTCATCTGTGTTTATGTTTGTCATTCTATTAAAAAAAATGTGTCATCTGTGGTTATGTCTAAACAGTTCTAAAAATTGTGCCATATGTGGTAATGCAAACATAATTCCAGAAATACAGAGGTAATTTGTGGCTGTGTTGATGTCATTCTCAGAGCTAGTTATTATTCTACGCCTTAGAACCAGGACACTTCGACACGCAAGTGCGTGCGCATGAGCATGCGCATGAGCGTGTGTGTGATGTTTTCTAGACAGTGGAAAGCTGCAGTGACCACCTCCACCTCCATTCTTAAGCTGAATGTTGTGGTATCACATGCTAGGTTCTCCTACACAATCAATCAGTAATTAGCTTTTGCTAAGAACCCCCAGGAATTTCTTTTGCCTCTTGACGCCGAACTGTCTCTATAAATAATTACATCACAGGAGCGAGCATTATCCTGAAATAACTGCTGAATGTCCACGTCAGTGGCACCTGCTGGCCACTCTGTGCACTCCCAGCTCAAGTTGATCAGGACTCTATACAGATTTGACTGTTCTGCTGGCACTCTGACCCACTCCTCTGATCTTGTCCTCTTCCTGAGCCATCCATGTCTTCCCTCTTGTCAGCCACTGACCCTTAACTGCTGACCCTTTGGCATCATATAATACAGTCACCTAGCTGCTACACCACAGCGGCTACCAGTGAAGCAAATGATGGATTTTATCATTATGTGCTGTTTTTAAGGAAAGTTGCGTTCAACCAGAACTTAATTATAACATCTTAATGAACTTAAAACTTTAAATTTTTAATTCTGATGTCAAATCAGTACTTTTGTATGGGGCGGAAACATGGAGAACAACTAAGGCAATCACTAATAAACTACAAAAATTCATTAACTGGTGCCTGCGCAGAATAGAGGGAATTAAATGGTATCATAGAATCACTAATGTAGAGCATTGGAAGAGAACTAAGCAAGCTATAGTGGACCAAGAGGTGGAGAAAAGACATTGCAGTTGGATAAGACACACATTGAGAATATCGGACAACAATATAACTAGAATGTCTTTGCATTGAACCCACAGGGGCATAGGAATAAAGAAACGCCAAACAACAGATGGAGAAGGAAGCTGGAGAATGAAGTTAGAAAGATGGAGAGGACATGGGGAGAGCTGCAGGTGATAGCAAAGGATAGAACGACGTAAGTTGGTTGAAGGCCTATGCTCCATTGGGGGCTAGAAAGGCAGAAGAAGAAGAAGAAGAATGAACTATCATCTGTCCTGGTGATATTTTTAGGCCATGTCTGTCCATATAGGTGATCTGTCTAAAGTCCATATGAAATATAATGTGTTTTTTATTTCAGCGTGTGAGAAAAGAGTTTGAGGGATTTGAAACTCTGTTTGCCAGATTTTTGAGAGAAACAGGACCATCTGTTGAATGGGACAAGTTGAAACTTTTGGCTCCAGAATCAGTGAGTTATGTCAAACTAATTTGCAGATGTAACCCAGAGACAATATGTTGTCAAGTAAAGAACCCTTTTCCCACGCCCATAAGTGTATAGGGCTAGATCTTTATTTTATAGACCATTCTGGACTCTGTGGGTAATGAGGTCAACATCATGCGGGTCAGCTTTATTTCCCAGGACTTTACCTGGTACCCATGTTATGCTTGGTCAGCCAAGCAGCAAAGGTCATTTCTCAAAAGATGCGGCTTATGAGGATTTGAACCCACCAAATTTGTGCTCAATGCCAGCATGTAGCCACTACATTCTGGCTGCTGCATATGTTTTAACTGAAGATAAAAGGTGGACAGATTGAATTCCTTTATAATTGCCCAACAGTCAACTTCTTCTTTTTCTGCTTCTTCTTCCTCCTTCTCCTCCATCTTCTTCACCTTTGAAGGCTTGTCTAGATAAAAGATATTAATGTTTCTGCTGTAGGCTTCAGTGAACCACTTGTAGAGTTCAACATTGTAGGCTTTGGTAAATCCATTTAGAGCTCACTGAATCCCTTGTAAAGTTCCACACTGTTCGCTTCAGTGAACCACTTGTAGAGTTCAACATTGTAGGCTTTGGTAAATCCATTTAGAGCTCACTGAATCCCTTGTAAAGTTCCACACTGTTCGCTTCAGTGAACCACTTGTAGAGTTCAACATTGTATGCTTTGGTAAATCCATTTAGAGCTCACTGAATCCCTTGTAAAGTTCCACACTGTTCGCTTCAGTGAACCACTTGTACGCTTTTAAATTGTAGTCTTTAGTGTGATCTCTTTGCAGTTAGTTGCACACTTAGGCTTCATTAAACCCACAGTAGAGTTCAGCGAACCTCTTGTAGACTTTCACATTGAAGGCTTTATACTACTTATCATATGTCAGCTCTCTCATCTTCACCAGTTCTTGTGTATCCCAGACATTAAATCATATAATATTTATATAATATGATGTACGCTGTAAATTTCTGTGTATATTAGTTTGTAAATTTCTTAGTGTTGTACTAATTAGTTGTCATTTAGATTAACCTGTTTCGTATCAAGCAGGTCGGTACTTCCTGTCTGTTGTTATCACTGAATGTTGCGCAGGATATATCAAACCTGACATCCCACATTCTGCCAATGGCTTTAAAGGGATGAGTCCATCGAGAAGGACACTAGCCTTAGCCTAGGATGAGGAAATGCAACCTGAAAAGGTTGCTGTGGCAGGGCAGACCAGGTCCTTAGCCTTGGCTGGTGGCCAGCAGCTGGAAGCTTTGACAGGTGAACAGAGCACTGCTCTTCTGAGCTGGCAGCTTATGGAGCCTGCTTTGTTCCAAACGTATGGTGTTACCTTTCCTTTGGGGTAAACAAGACAGGCAGAGAGAGGGATCCTGATGCATGGATAGCGTATAGTCTCTACAATACTGCCCAAGCTTTGTGCTATGGAGAGGAGGAACTTCATCCCTGGCTTTAATTTGGTCTCAGAAATGAACAGAGACAGCTAGTCACACTCGTCATCTCTATGGGCTGTGAGTCTCATGCCTGCTCATAGCACAACATAACATTGTTGTATGGAAAAATGGAAAGGTGCCAACCAACCCAGCATTTATAATGTAGTCCACTATTTTCTGTTACTCCTCTTAGACTTTGAAGAATATTGTGATGACTGGAAAGATCAGAGAGATGATGATGGATGGGTTGTGACGGTGGCATGAAGGGATATCATCGGTGAAACTGATCCAGAGGACAAGGGACTGATAACTGTGGAGATTCATCAACCCTTACACCAGTCAGCAGGGCACATGATGATGATGATTTCATTGGAAAATGAATGCTTAAAGTAATAAATAGTAATAAATGTTTGAGTCAGAATGATTTGGATTGTGTTCTGGACATAATAATAGACTGCAGTCATATGTACAGGAAATTGAAGATTGGGGATTCAGAACTTTGCCAATCTAGACAAGCACCACAGAACACTGACAGTTTGCCTCAGATACACTCTCTGTGTACAGTAGAAAGAGCCCATGTCTGGCCAGTTGGCATTCCATTAGGATCCAAGCTGTGTGGATCATTGGAAGACATGCATCATTCCACAGTCTTCACAAGGCCTGTGACCGTCTCTACTGAAAATACTGGCAGGGAGAACAAAAAGAAGAAGAAGAAGAATAAAAGAATATTTTTTTGAAATGTGTTACCTTTCCTTTGGAGTAAACAAGGCAGGTGGAGAGAGGGATCATGATCCATGGACAACATATGGTCTCTATAATACTGCCTCAGGCTTTGTGCTCACTGGCCATCACCACAGGCTGTCAGTCCCTTGCCTCCTCATAGCGCAATATAACTGCTGTCTGGAAAGATGGAAGGGTGCCAGTCATCATCATCATCAAGGTGCCAGGCAATCATTTTGTGAAAGAGAAGGATTGAAAGTAGCAACGGCAGCAGTGTGGGTTAGGGTAACAACTGGCATAAGGAGGTGATGAAAATGTTTGAAGTAAGTAGAACCCAACAGACGATGAGTGAATTGTTGGTGGGGAATGAGTTAAATATCAGAATATTTCCAATCACTTAAACAGATCAGAAAGTATGGTGACCTGCCGACCCCAGACACCAAGGACATCAAAAATCTTCTAGATAAACTGGTTGTCATCAAACTCAATGGTGGACTGGGCACTAGCATGGGATGTACTGGACCAAAGAGTGCCATCCAAGTGAGGAATGAACTCACATTCCTGGATCTCAATGTGCAACAGATTGAGGTAGGTTGGTATTCTCTCTGTCTCTGTCTCTCTCTCTCTCTCTGTGTCTCTCTGTGTCTCTCTGTGTCTCTCTCTGTCTGTCTGTCTGTCTGTCTCTCTCTCTCTCTCTCTCTCTCTCTCTCTCTCTCTCCAATTGAGTTTTATTGAATACCCAAAAAGTGCTTAGTCTCACAGATACTATAGTGTAAGATATACTACATGCTTCTTCTTAATCATCTTCTGCAATTACATCACAGTCTGTCTTTGAGTGTCCGTGTGAGTTCATTTGTGACTGGAGTGTAGATAAAATTATTTTATATAGTCTCTTTCTTCTGTGTTTTATAAATGTGTGTATGCTCTCACACACACACATGCAGGCACACACACACACACATGCAAGCACACACACACACACACACACACACTTACACCCCCCCCCTTCCCCTCACCTCCTGTTTTTCCCGTGCTGTGACAGAATGTTTCTGACCATGTCAGGCACACCAGATAGTGAACCCAGGGTCGATTGCAGCCATTAAAGACATTATACAATACCACCAGTTGACTGTGAATGATATTGCTGACACATCTTCACACAATTCAGTATTAAGCACACCACATCATCTGTGATGTGCTACAGTAGTACAGAGTGTCTGCAAGGTGGATGCCACAGCAGCTTGCTCCAGAATTCAAATGACAATGTGCTGATGCTTGTCAAGACCTTTTACAGTGCTTTGAAGGGGACGGTAATGGTTACCTATCAACAGTTGTTACTGTATATAAAACCTGGGTTGACTACCATTAGCCGGAAAAGCGAGCAAGGAATGTGCTAAGAGGGAAAACAGTCACTAGTGATACATATATAGATCTTTATGGGAATTATCTTCATCCCACAGTCAAATCCAAACGACAAGGAATTCTGAGTAAAGGTGTCCTTTTTGAATCGTGATAATTCTCAATCCCGTGCAGTGGTTGAAAACATTAAAGATCTCCACTTTCAGTGCGTACTTCATCCTCTGTACTCGGATCTAGCCTCCATCTGTTTGGACAACTCAGAAACTCATTGAGAGAAAGACTTTTTGGTCCATTTAAGTGGTACAGCAGGTGGTTACACATGTGGCCAAGATAATTTGTTTCTGCAGGAACCCAAGCATTTTATTCGTGCTAGTGGACTTGAAAAATGATACATTTGTTCTTTACTTTTCAGAATGTAGTCACACATAGGAAACAATTGATACGCTAAATAATACATAGATAGTATCAGTGAATATTATTTCTCCAATTTTCTGCTAAGTTCATATTCGTAGTCTCAGGCCGGGACTATCTGCTGCATAATTTCACTGTAACACTTAATACAGTTTGTGATAGATATTTGAATCACCATCGTAATCATATCATCATACATCAAAAAAGGGTCACAGTGTACTGTTTCATTCTGTTCTGTCTTGTGTAGTTGTTTCAATTAGGGTTAAAATGCAGTTTAATAATTCTGACATATCAGATTTAGTTCAGTTGTAGTTGATTTGGCAGCAAACTGTTTTGTATTGATTTCTGCAGTGATGTATGTGTTGCTTCTGGTCACTATTGTGGATATGCCGTTTACTGTTTTTTTTAAGTCCTGGACTAATCAGTGAACATCACGAAGAAGAACAAGAATCTTATAACATCGCATAGATAAAGGAATCATGGGTAGTGTTGTAGATAGAAGATTAGTAAACACATTTTCTGTGTAAATCTTCTTTCCAGCATTTAAACAAAATTTATGGTGTGGACGTGCCGTTTGTGTTGATGAATTCCTTCAACACAGATGATGATACGCAGAAGATTCTTCGCAAGTACAGTCAGATCCAAGTCAGCATTTTTACATTCAATCAGAGCAGGTGAGACTGACCCTTCAGATATTTAAACTGAGTAAAGACTATCCCCTTGTGGGTTCAAGGGCCTATTGGGGAGAGCTGGTATGGGTGGGGGGGGGGGGGGCACAACCCCCTAACAAATATGTTATAAAAGGTGACTTAATAAGGATGTGCTGAAATCATATGTGTTGGATTGAAAGGTGCAGATACCACAGCCTAGCTGTAAACTACAACAGAACGAGCCTACCGCCCATTTGAGAGTGAATGTAAAAGAAGAAAGAGAAAAGATAATTTTATTGTGAATTGTATACGCGGTGGTCTGAACTCTTTCTGTCCCAACCAGCGCATCATGTGTCATTGGTTATAATTCATATCCTGCAGAAATAATTCCAGCATTGTTTGGCTCTTGTGGGTTTACTAGGCAAATTTACGTTCATTTGGTTTGAGAATGCTTCTGAGCGGTCGGCTGTTAATACCCGCTGTTGAAACCAAAACAAGGAAGTCTGCTGCCAAATAAGCCTGCAGTGGGGATCGAACCTGGCACTTCGGCATAATGAAGCATGTTCGCAATGCCTCAGCTGCAGATGTTGACCACAACTCTGAACCCCTACAAGCACCTAAATAGGGGTTTGCTAAAATCATATTTTTTAGGCTAGACGTGAACAACAACAACAGCACCCTGTTGAGGGTCACTGTAGAGGAAGCAAAAGTCCTTTATCACTGTTTATCTTTGGCAACTCACAAGTATGGAAATGCAACATCCTGTCCACCTTTAATATGATCTGATCAGAATTCTCACTGTCTTCCTCTTGTCTGTTTGCTTCAGCTCTTGTCTGTTTGCTTCAGCTCTTGTCTGTTTGCTTCAGCTCTTATCTGTTTGCTTCAGCTCTTGTCTGTTTGCTTCAGCTCTTGTCTGTTTGCTTCAGCTCTTGTCTGTTTGCTTCAGCTCTTGTCTGTTTGCTTCAGCTCTTGTCTGTTTGCTTCAGCTCTTGTCTGTTTGCTTCAGCTCTTGTCTGTTTGCTTCAACTCTTCTCTGTTTGCTTCAGCTCTTCTCTGTTTGCTTCAGCTCTTCTCTGTTTGCTTCAGCTCTTCTCTGTTTGCTTCAGCTCTTGTCTGTTTGCTTCAGCTCTTGTCTGTTTGCTTCAGCTCTTGTCTGTTTGCTTCAGCTCTTCTCTGTTTGCTTCAGCTCCGGTCTGTTTGCTTCAGCTCTTCTCTGTTTGCTTCAGCTCTTCTCTGTTTGCTTCAGCTCTTCTCTGTTTGATTCAGCTCTTGTCTGTTTGCTTCAGCTCTTGCCTGTTTGCTTCAGCTCTTCTCTGTTTGCTTCAGCTTTTCTCTGTTTGCTTCAGCTCTTGTCTGTTTGCTTCAGCTCTTCTCTGTTTGCTTCAGCTCTTCTCTGTTTGCTTCAGTTCTTCACTGTTTGCTTCATCTCTTCTCTGTTTGCTTCAGCTCTTCTCTGTTTGCTTCAGCTCTTCTCTGTTTGCTTCAGCTCGTCTCTGTTTGCTTCAGCTCTTGTCTGTTTGCTTCAGCTCGTCTCTGTTTGCTTCAGCTCTTGTCTGTTTGCTTCAGCTCTTGTCTGTTTGCTTCAGCTCTTGTCTGTTTGCTTCAGCTTGTCTCTGTTTGCTTCAGCTCTTCTCTGTTTGCTTCAGCTCTTGTCTGTTTGCTTCAGCTCTTGTCTGTTTGCTTCAGCTCGTCTCTGTTTGCTTCAGCTCGTCTCTGTTTGCTTCAGCTCTTGTCTGTTTGCTTCAGCTCGTCTCTGTTTGCTTCAGCTCTTGTCTGTTTGCTTCAGCTCGTCTCTGTTTGCTTCAGCTCTTGTCTGTTTGCTTCAGCTCATCTCTGTTTGCTTCAGCTCTTGTCTGTTTGCTTCAGCTCTTCTCTGTTTGCTTCAGCTCTTCTCTGTTTGCTTCAGCTCTTGTCTGTTTGCTTCAGCTCTTCTCTGTTTGCTTCAGCTCTTCTCTGTTTGCTACTGATGACATTTATTTGGTTCTTTGATAGACGGCCTCTACAGTACTGCCCTAGCTCTGCAGTACTGCCCTAGCTCTGCAGTACTGCCCTAGCTCTGCAGTACTGCCCTAGCTCTGCCCTAGCTCTGCAGTACTGCCCTAGCTCTGCAGTACTGCCCTAGCTCTGCAGTACTGCCCTAGCTCTGCAGTACTGCCCTAGCTCTGCAGTACTGCCCTAGCTCTGCAGTACTGCCCTAGCTCTGCAGTACTGCCCTAGCTCTGCAGTACTGCCCTAGCTCTGCAGTACTGCCCTAGCTCTGCAGTACTGCCCTAGCTCTGCAGTACTGCCCTAGCTCTGCAGTACTGCCCTAGCTCTGCAGTACTGCCCTAGCTCTGCTATGAAGACAACGTAAAAAGGGGATGACCTTGGTTTTTTTTTTTTAGAAGCTCAGTTGTCTTGTCCGTTGTAATTTTACCAGTCACAGTTTGTGCTGTATGTAATACTCTGTTGATAAAGACTTTGGTCAAAGCGTTTGCCTATATTTTTACATCTTTTTCATTCCCTCTATTAAGCTTTCTAGTCACATTTGATGTTTTATTTAGCACTGTATGCTATGGGGAAGAGGAGGAACTTCATCCCTGGCTTTAACTGTTCCTCACAAGGGGCTGTAATTCTCCTGCCTCACTATTACACAAGATAACACTGTCATCTTGAAAAGGCAGAAAGCTGCCAACAGCTGCAACAATAAAAAAGGAACTGACAGTAACATGTTTCCTTCTTTGTGTTATCATTTTAATTCATGTATCTTTTAGTATTTCATCACGCTCATTCACGAGTTATCCCTTTCATTTACAGATACCCCAGAATCAACAGAGACACTTTGATGCCAGTACCCAGAAGTTTTGCAGAAGATTCCATAGAAGGGTATTGTTTCTTTTAGTTCTCATGTGTTCACATTAGAGAAACAGCCAACATGTGACTTTCTGGGCCGATGAGCTTATGATGATACAAAATAGGCCAGAGATAGATAACCCTAATGAACTACAGGGGCAATTTCACCGGTGGTAAGATTGCAGAACTTGAAGCACCAGGCGTTGGAAAGATATTGACAATTGCTGATGATGTTCTTGCATATAGCCAGGGGAGTAATAGGCGACAAATAGTCCAAGAGCTACAAGCAACTGTAGACAAAGTGACTGGCTGATGTGCAAAAATGGGTGCTGTCATCAACTCAGAAGAGGCGGCTGTTTTGAGGTGCTCTCTGGACAATAGAATTGTAAGAGCTAATGTTCCAAGCCTCACAGTTAATAACAGTAACATCAAAAGATAAAGCAAACAGAGGTACCTGGGTATCATTTTCGATAGAAGCCTGTCCTTCAGGGATCATGTGCAGGCAGTTGCGGATAAATGCCAAAAAGGACTGAATGCACTCAAGATTATGGCAGCAATGGACATGGAGCAAAGAATGCTGTTCACAATGTTCCTGCATGTGATCCTGTTGGTGATAGATTATGGATTTGGAATGCTTACCATATCAAAGAGTCAGCTGATGAAACTTGAACGCATACAGAATGAAGCCATGCGGGTAATTCTGCGATGTACAAGAGATACCCCGGTAGTATGTATGCGATATATACTTGCACTGCCTACAATTGGCAGACAGGCTCAAAGTTCTGCGAGCAAAGTCATATCTCAGAGTAGCTGCAGACAGGAAGCACCTCCTGCATGATGCCCTGGGAAGAGCTAAGGGTCACAGACTACAAAGAGGAAGGTCTTGTGTGCAGGCTTGATAAATTTAGTTCTTGATTGCTGCAGGTCAAGCTGTGATCTCATTACATTTTCACAGTGTGGTTATATTAAACAGTGAGCAGGAAAAAGGCACAGAAAGGCCTGTTCCAGTGATCTCTTCCTGCCCCTGACATCATGAGGTATTCCAGGAGTAAAGAACAGAAGAAGAAGAAGCAGAAGAAGAAGAGCACTAAAACAAGTTAATCATGAACTGTTTCATCCCAAGAAGCCACAAACCCTGCATCTGACCGTGGATAAATCCCATCAATGCCTCTTCTGAGTTGAGTGCATGGCATGACACTGTGAGCTGCTGATTTCATTTGGAATGCTTTTCTACTGTGACCAACACGGTGGTGTGAATTGTAGATTTAAAAAAAAAGGCGATGCCTGTTGTCGCAATATTGGTGGTGCCATTATGTGATTAAAATTGATCGCGTGTGCAACTGCTGATCTGTTGGTGACTTCTGCTACCATCAGTGATGAACTGCATTTCTAATATTGGACAGTTTATGTTAGTATTTCAGATGGCTACCGTATGCTTTTAATGTGTGTGTATGCTAGTGCATATGCTGAGACAACAGTCTGTCAATCTTTCCACAAGGGACTGGGATAAACATTCTGTGTGTTTTCAGTTAGCACAGGAGCGGAGCAACTATGGGGTGTCCCGTTTGCTATGAAGCTGAAACTCAGATTACCAGAAATGCCTCTTATCCTGCATTCCTACAGTGACATCAAGATCAAATAATAAATAAATAAATGCTGCAAGATCATGAAAATAACAGACTATTATACACTTGTAACGTACAGTTTGGGCATTCCCCAACATATTTTATTATTAAATTAATCTAATAACTTCTTTGTCCAGGTGGTTTCCGCCAGGCCACGGTGATGTCTACAATTCATTTTTCAACTCTGGGCTGCTAGATAAATTTATCAGTGAAGGCAAGAAGTACGTCTTCATCTCCAACATTGACAACATGGGAGCCACGGTTGATCTGGGTATCCTTGAGACATTTGTGGCTGTTTGTTTGCATTCTTCGTCTGTGTTTACCCTTTGAAGGTTACAGGGCAGGTGGTGCATTGTGTTTTGGGTTATAATTTACAGCTGGGCGGTGATATCTTCTGTGATATAATTCTTTGGAGATGCGGATATACAGAAGATTAGGTCATATTTCATGGAAACAAAAGCTATCAAATACAGAGGTACTGAGGAAATTGGGAATGAAAAGAGAGTTGCTAGGTGAAATAAAAAAGAGACAAGTGAAATGTTTTGGCCACATTAAAAGACATAACAGTATTGTAAAGATCATCCTAGAGGGAAAGGTTCAAGGTAGGCGAGCAAGAGGCAGACAGCGTTACAAGTGGGAGGATAACATCAAGAGATGGACGAACAGCAGTATGAGTGAGTGTACATCAAGGGCAAGAGACAGGGCTTGTTGGAGATCCATTGCAGCCAACCTTCATTGTGGAGACGGCACCTGATTGATTGATTGATATCTTCACCTTTAGACTCAGCATGTCCAATGTCAGCAGATCTCTTAACTCTTTGAGCCCCAGGGGTTTAGCATCAGAGGCCCCAGGGGTTTAGCATCAGAGGCCCCAGGGGTTTAGCATCAGAGGCCCCAGGGGTTTAGCATCAGAGGCCCCAGGGGTTTAGCATCAGAGGCCCCAGGGGCTTAGCATCAGAGGCCCCAGGGGTTTAGCATCAGAGGCCCCAGGGGTTTAGCATCAGAGGCCCCAGGGGTTTAGCATCAGAGGCCCCAGGGGCTTAGCATCAGAGGCCCCAGGGGTTTAGCATCAGAGGCCCCAGGGGCTTAGCATCAGAGGCCCCAGGGGTTTAGCATCAGAGGCCCCAGGGGTTTAGCATCAGAGACCCCAGTGGTGGTAATGCACCTTTGAAATGTCTCAAGCGTAACACATTAAAACAGACCATATTAATTCAACTGTCACACAACATACACATACACCGAAGTGACTGGGGGGTTGTTGAGGAATAATGTTAGAATACTGCTACAAAAATAAATTGTGTTAGTAGGCAGTTAGTTATTAGTAAATAAACAGATGGTATATTTAGACAAATTAGCAAAATTAAATAATAATTTTTCCACTTACCACTATGGCACTCAAGGAAAATTCTATAAAATCTATCCAAAATGAAACACAAATAAACATGAACCACTTAGTAATATATAAATAAAATATAAATACAAGAGATGTACTGGTCTTAGCAACAGTTACCAGTCTCTTAGCAACAGATACCGGTCTCTTAGCAACAGATACCGGTCTCTTAGCAACAGATACCGGTCTCTTAGCAACAGGTACCGGTCTCTTAGCAACAGGTACCGGTATCTTAGCAACAGATACCGGTCTCTTAGCAACAGAAGGAGAATAATCAGAAAGCCGCTGAAACCCGCAAAAGATGATTACCAGACCAGAGAAAGTTATTATTCTAAGCCTTAGAATGGGACACAGTCGACTTTGCAGCCACATGTACACAAAATTTAAAATCGGGGAATCAGCCATGTGCACATGTGGATTGGAACCTGAGACAACAGATCATGTCCTCCAAGACTTAACCCAAATACAACATATCAAGGCAAAACTTTTGGCCAAGAGAGACATCGGTGCAAGCCAAACTTTACGGGTCGCTGAGTGAATTACAAAGGACAGTAAAGTTCATACTAGAGACAACAGTACAGATATAGATAATCAATTTCAAGCGACTGAAAGAAGAAGAAGAAGATAAACACAATCTGTCCATTAGATCGTGTTGCAGAGAAACTTTTAGTAAAGAAAAATAACTTCAGAAAACAATTCGTACCTTCACAGAACACGAACTTCATATAACACTCAGTTTGCCCGTAATTGTATAGCCTATGTTGCCAAATAATAAGGGAATCGCACTAGATCTAACTGACGCTGAAGAATATTATCTTTTCCCACTAATATTTGTTCTGTTTGTACCATATTTGTTCTGTTTGTACCAGCTGACTTTGTTATCGTTGTACGCTTTGCACGAGGTATGTATCAGAGCTATCCCTCATCGAAGTTTGACTCTATCAATGACTAAACAAGTCTGCTTCATAACTTTCTTTGTCTAGCTGTGGATAAATCTGATAAACATGAGTTTTATTTAAATGTGAGGGTTCTAAAGTCATAAATTGTGTTGGCAAGCATGAAGAATACTGCTCAGAGACCATTTTGTTCTCACACAGACACTTAGTAACTCATAAAGCTCACAAACATGCTACATTTTATGCTTTTAACCATGTTTCCGAATAAGCCTAATAGTCTGTACGTGTGACGAAAAACACAAAGAACAGGAGGTAAACATTAAGAACTGCCGGTTTGCGTTGTTATACTGTCCAGTGGTCAGTTAAAAACCAGTACACGTCACGCGCCGACTGAGCGGCTGGGTAGTAACCGATCAGCATATTGTGTTGCTTGGGACTCAAAGAGTTAATTAGTTGCATTAGAGAACATAACTTGTCAGCTCTTTCAATCTCAAACAATACACTATGTGTACTGGATATCACTGATGTGCATCAGTCAACTTGTTTTATTTACTTGATGTGGCATGAAGTACGAATGAAGCCATTTGTGTTTTAAATTTCACTTAACTGTAGACAGGCATATTGAACTTTTTGCTGCAGTCACCGGAGAGCTCGTCTCCAGAGTTTGTCATGGAAGTCACAGACAAGACTAGGGCCGATGTCAAGGTATGATGTTGCTGAGTGCCAACTGTCTCATCTAGATCCACAATAATGTTCTACTGTCAAATGTAGGTTCTTGTTTGTTCCCTCAGTGGGTTTGGGGACCCCAGTTTAGGGAGAGAAAGAAAAGATCCACTGCCCCCTGACAGGCATGTCATACAGGGCAACTAATTAGTTTGATGAAATTGAATGTTTTGGGCTGAAAGATGCAGATACTACAGCCTAGCTGTAAACCACAATGTGCCAACTGCTCTTTTAAGGGTGAATGCAGCAGAGGGAGAAGGTTCATGCTTCTTTTAGACATAAAAACAAGCTTCTTAAGGGACACACTGTAGGGGGATGAGGGAGATACACTGTAAGGGGGGTGGGGGGGGGTGAGGGAGATACACTGTAGGCGGAGGAGGGAGATACACTGTAGGAGGAGGAGGGAGATACACTGTAGGGAGGGGGAATGAGGGAGATACACTGTAGGGAGGGGGAATGAGGGAGATACTGTAGGGGGAAGGGAGGGAGATAACCTGTAGGGGGAAGGAAGGGAGATAACCTGTAGGGGGAAGGAAGGGAGATACACTGTAGGGGGAAGGAAGGGAGATACACTGTAGGGGGAAGGAAGGGAGATACACTGTAGGGGGAAGGAAGGGAGATACACTGTAGGGGGAAGGAAGGGAAATACACTGTAGGGGGAAGGAAGGGAAATACACTGTAGGGAGAAGGAAGGGAGATACACCGTAGTGCTTCCTGTGTCTAGGCAGGGCTGGTGTATGTGGACATGAAAGGTCCATTACACTGGCCTCCAGGGAGATTACTGTGGTTGAACAAGGGACATAAAAGTATCTGATAATCTGTTTTAAGAGGAAACAAATTTATAACCCATACATGATGGAACCCGGAATGAAATTGTTGACACTAGCAAGAAGGATAGTAAATGGACGAAGCAGAATTATGCATACCCAAGGGATACTATAAGTATCAGTTTGATTATCTGTTGCACATACTTCTCTAACTGGAAATATCTCCCTTAATTGTCAATAGTGTGCTGGTCAGTGGCCAATCTTCAACAAGAACCTACCTGATACAGAGAAAGAGAGAGAGAGGAAGAGAAAGAAAAAAGAAATAGTTTTGTAAAAACCTCTGGAGAAGAAGGTGTATCGCCCTCAACCAAGCTAAAGCCAACCGGCGACGTACACTAAAGTATTCAACAAGTTTTGAAATCCATACGTGAAAACAATAATAATGGCCAACACAGACGAACTCGCTTGCGTTTATGCCGCTCTTATCTTGGCAGATGACCAAGTAGCAATTACCGGTGACAAGATTTCAACACTTCTTAAGGCAGCCAATATATCTGTTGAGCCTTACTGGCCAGGTTTGTTTGTAAAGGCTTTGGACGGCTGTGAAAGAGTTTATCAGCAATGTGGGCAGTGCTGCAGGGGACAGACCAGTTGCTGTGTCCGACGGGGCTCCTACTGCTGTGGCCCCTGCTGCAGGTGGTGGAGATGCCAAACCTGCTGCAGAGGAAGCAAATAAAGAAGAGAAGAAGGAAGTGTCCGAGAAGTCAAGACAAGGACATGGGCTTTGGACTCCTTGACTGATCTTTATGTACAGACGACAGAAGCTTTTTTTAATTTAACAATAAATCCTGTTTAAATAGTGAAAAAAAAAGGAAAGAGAGAGAGAGAGAGAGAGGGAGAGAGAGGGAGGGAGAGGGAGAGAGGGAGCATTGAATGTCTACTTAGATATACAATTCTGTAATGATAGTTTAGCATTTGTTTAGTTACACAGCTGACTGTATGTTCTAATATAATCTAATCCATAGGGTGGTACACTGGTTGAATACGAAGGAAAACTCCGCTTGCTGGAGTATGCACAAGTGCCTGCAGATCATGTAAGGATGTTTGTTTCACTGTGTTGACTGTGTTTTCTTGAGTGAGCAAATGTTTTCCCTTGTTGGCTACTTGACAAGGAGTTGAGTCAAGAATTGACATCACAGCACTCGGGGCATTCCCATGCGTGCTCCGTCCTCATCTTCAGCAGCCAGTGCAGAGTTCCAATACTGATGGTAACCGGTCACAATCTGGTTATATGTCGGTCTTGTCTTTCCTCTGAGTGTTGTGAGCCAGCCAGACCCTCTGTTTACACCCAGGTGCCTCATTCTCTTCAGGCCGTAATAATCTTGTTTCTCTACTGATTCCTTTGCTTGTTCCTAAACGGCCTTGACCACATCTGCCTTGTCATGTTACTTGAAAAGGAAAAAAATAGCATGTGTGGGAAAGTCTAGAGTGAAGGAATCTTCATTCTTCACTCATTCAGTCATTTGTTTATTTGTTCATTAATTGTAATTTTTCTTGAAGTCGGAGTGCATCTGCCTGAGAGACAAGGAACCAGCAGTCTGCATATGAATAAGCTAGATCTATAAAATGGATGTTCGTGCAAAACTCAAATTCTGGAACAGAATCCAGATGTGGACGAACAACCAGAACTTTCCGCTGGAGTTTACAGCTGGTGAACACAGAGAAGATTAATTATAATAGTGCTCTCTTCTTCTGGGAACGACACAAACACACTGGATTAGACAGTTGCCTACTGCCTTAAAAATCGTGTGTTTGAATCCGCATCAGGACTTGGTCTTCCAGGGTCGCCCAGCCTGAAATGATGAAACATTGACTGGTCTTTAAACGTGTGTCTGGCACAATGTAACTAATTTATTATATGTTGCCATGACAACTCTCTTTGCCATTGGAACATAGACATCCTATTTCAGGCCCACACCTATCCATCCACTCTTTTTTTTTTCTTCTTCTTCTTCTTCTCTTCCTCCTCCCCCTCCTCCTTTTTGTCCTTCTTCCACCTATCCATCCACTCAGTCACTTTTTTTCTTTTTCTTCTTCTCCTTTTCCTCCTTCTCCTTCTTCTCCTGCTCCTCCTTCTTCTTCTTATTCATCATCATCATCTTCTCCTCCTAGTTCAGTATTCTGAGCCTGAGTTTCATTGCTTCAGATATCACCTACCTCCATTCATCTCTGTAATTCGCCTAGTGTTTCCAGTTGGTGACTGTAAGTGTTTGTAGGTGTGTCTGGATATTATCTCTCCACCATCTTTTTGGTCTGTCCGGTGATCTGCTGCCATTTAACTCTTTGATATACATAGCTTTTGTCACCTACCATTCTCTCTATATGCCCTAACCGTTGCAGTCTATAAGCCCCCATAATGACAGTAATTGATTTAAACAGACTATGTATTGGGTCGTTAATCAAGAACTTGGGAATTACTGGCTAGATTAATAGACAGAAAGCAGGGGGAAGACAAACACCTGGGTGGCTTAGCTATATTGATGGGGCGAGACAAGAACACTGAACTGATCCATGATTTGGTGATCGTGTAGAATGGCAGATATGACAGCCTATTGTCATGGCTTCTCTTTCTTTATTCTTTACTATTCCATCTTTGAAAGATTATATTATATTAAGATAATTATATCAATATTTTCCTGTCTCCTTAGGAGAATAGAAGGTCTTTAGAGCATTATGACAACCTAAAATCTCAGTTGTTTGACGACACAAATTAGCACAAACAGCATCTCAATAATATTTCTTTAATTTATTTCTGCAGGTTGATGAATTCAAAAGTGTCCGGAAATTCAAGTAAGTTTTCACTTTCTAGGTTTCCTACAAGTTTAGAGTGAATCTCCCCGAGAGACTGTGCATAAAACTAAGCCACATCTGTAAAACGGATTGCTTGCAGAGCTAAAGTTCTCAAACAAAACTCTAGTCCAGAAGTGGGCAAAGAATCCAGACTTTTCGCCTGAAATCTGACCAGTGTCAATTTAGTGTTCTTCTAAGATATTTGTTCTCAAAATTTTCAAATTTTTTTGTCTAGAGTTACTGTTGCTTTCCAACTCTTGCAACCATAATTTAGCACTGGAATCACACAAGAGTTGTAGATCTTAAATAGAGAGTGGGTTGACTCAAATCAGATCTGTTGAACAGAGAATCATAGATGTTGCAGGCTAGTTGTAAACCCTGACACAATGTGCCAACCAATTTTGTAAAGAGGGACACAGAAGAAGAAGATGAAAATAAGAAAACAAAACAAGTCCAGTTTCACATGCTTCAGTTTAGGAAAGAATCTCACCAGTGACTCCAATCATGTCCAGAGGTACCACAAGAGCTGCCAAAGTTGGTGCTTGCGTACACATGTGGTTACAGTGTAAGGGTGTGCTCAGGCGCTTGGCACTACAACCAGGTAAATTTTATTAGCCCGCCAAAGACCCATAGAGCCTCCAGGCCAACCCCAACTCCTCATGATGCATGCGGAAAAAGTAGAGCCAGGAGATTTCTAATGGTGCAATGGCTCGCCTGGAAGGAGACGGGTACCAGCCAGGTCAGATTTGTCCCTGTCCCTCCACGCGACGGGCCTAGCAAGCCGGCAGTGGTGTCATTGATTGCTACTACACACCCCCGTGTGGGTTCCAGGGCCCCATTGTGGGGAAAACAAGAATAGACCCATTGCCTCCCCAAAAGCATGTCGTAAGAGTCGACTAATTGGGGAGCTTCCTTTGAAGTCGGAGTGAATCTGCCGGAGAGGCAAGGAACCAGCAGTCTGTATTCAAGAGAATGGGATCTGTAAAACTGATGCACACGCAACACTCAGGTTCTGGAGCAGGACTGCAGTTCAGTAGTGGATGAGCAACCAGAACTTTCCGCCAGAGTGTACAGCTGGTGAACGCGAAGAAAAAGAAGAAGAAGCTACTACACAAAACCATGACATTGGGCTACAACCTGGTATCATTGAGATGACAAAAGAAGAGGGAAAAGAAAAAGTGGTACTATTTGCCCTTCCTGAGAACAACTACTTTTGATACCACACCCAATGTTTTTGTACGTTTTAGTTTTCTCTCTGCTTAACAATATTACAATTGTTTTTTTAAATTACTTTTCCTTAAACATTGTAACAATAAATGCATTGACAATATCAAAGGCATTGCTCCAGTACATTAATTGCACCAGCAGGTTTCTAATTAAAAACTGTACCTTTTGGTGTGTTTTGGCACCTTTTCAAAAAATATTTTGTCAGCCCTGGGTACAGCTCTCAGTAACTGACTGTCTCATCAGTATTGATTGATGATTACCTGTTGTCCAGTTTTCTAACCGACTGTAATCTTTATTCCAAACTCTAGCACTCACAGATGTTTATTTGGTAATGTTGTCCTGTGTTTTTTGGTAATGTTGTCCTGTGTATTGTAATGTTGTCCTGTGTTTTTTGGTAATGTTGTCCTGTGTTTATTTGGTAATGTTGTCCTGTGTATTGTATCTGTTATGTGTCTGTGTTTTCTGTGTATGGTGTCTGTGTATGGTGTCTGTGTATGGTGTCTGTGTATGGTATCTGTGTATGGTGTCTGTGTATGGTATCTGTGTATGGTGTCTGTGTATGGTATTGTGTATTTCTGTGTTTTTTTTTATTTTTTCTGTGTTTTTTTGTGTATGGTTTTGTGTTTGGTTTGTTTTTTTTTTTTTTTTTTTTTTTTTTTTTTTTTTTTTTTTTGGTTTTTGTTTTTTTTTTTGTTTTTTTTTTTTTGGTTTTTTTGTTTTTTTTTTTTTTTTTTTTGTTTTTTTTTTTTTTGTTTTTTTTTGTGTTTTTTTTTTTTTTTTGTTGTTTTTTTTTTGTTTTTTTTTTTTTTTTTTTTTTTTTTTTTTTTTTTTTTTTTTTTTTTTTTTTTTTTTTTTTTTTTTTTTTTTTTTTTTTTTTTTTTTTTTGTTTTTTTTTTTTTTTTTTTTTTTTTTTTTTTTTTTTTTTTTTTTTTTTTTTTTTTTTTTTTTTTTTTTTTGTTTTTTTTTTTTTTTGTTTTTTTTTTTTTTTTGTTTTTTTTTTTTTTGTTTTTTTTTTTTTGTTTTTTTTTTTTTTTTTTTTTTTTTTTTTTTTTTTTTTTTTTTTTTTTTTTTTTTTTTTTTTTTTTTTTTTTTTTTTTTTTTTTTTTTTTTTTTTTTTTGTTTTTTTTTTTTTTTTTTTTTTTTTTTTTTTTTTTTTTTTTTTTTTTTTTTTTTTTTTTTTTTTTTTTTTTTTTTTTT